GTTTAAATTGAATTTTAATGATCAATGGTTTCAAGAAAATTGGGGACTTCGGGTCCATTTCAGATGACCGCGCGTAATCGTTCACCACAAATTCTTGCGCGCAACGCCAATTGCCTTTCGTCATCTGGACGTTCGACGCGCGGCAGGTTTGCGTCCATCTGAACCTAACTTTAATCGCAAATATCGGAGATGCACTACCACTGCGTGGGTCACCTATAGAAAGAACGTCGACAAGTCCCTGTTTCACCTTTGCCTTTTAAAACAGGAACGCAGTAAAGGTCACATTACTGCTTGGCTTAGTAGTATTTCAATGGACGAATTCTTTCAGAAGGAGCTCTGCTACTAGCGAAACTTTGATAAAACATACTTGTAAAAATCACTTAAAATTGAGGGTGTCAGTGTAAAAAGTCAGAAGTAACGATGCAGTAGGCATATAGGTTTTTATTGATCCGATCTCTTATACCCATTACTTTTTCAGATAAATCATCATCGTTGAGGACCTAGGTGGCCCAACGGCATGCACTATGGACACTTGATGGGGAGACCAATTTAGGAAATAAACTTTTCTAAATTGACCCTGGTCTGGGTGTTCTGGGAAGTGTCCCAGAGTGAATTCCGTTGTTCAGGTACTCATAGTACAGGGAATAAATTCCCTAGTTTGAGATCAGGCAATTGGTGACATTGGTGTGGTTGTCTATCAGTAAATGATTAACATCTTACCTTTAAAGAATTACTCCTCCCTTCACGTTTCAACATTACAAATACGGATTCACTGTTCACATATTGCGCCAAGTCTCTGATACGCAATTTGTTGTCGTGTGGCCATTGCAGGAAAATTACATAAATTGCCGTAATAAGATTTCCCTTCGGCGCCGGCGTCGCAATCGGATTGTTGCCGTTGTATTCTTTTTTCTTGCAAGTATACCAAGCATTCGTATTGAGGCTGTCTCTTTGGTGAAACCAGGGCGAAGTATCATAGATCGCTTCTCCATTATCTTCGAGCCACTCACCCAGTTTCATTAGTCTTTCTTGGAATATGGGCGTTATAGTGCCGTCTTCCTGTGCTCCGATGGTGATAAGTGCATTTCCTTGACATATAACGTATTTTATTTTAGTAACAGATATTTGTGATTTACTATATTAACTGAGATTGATGACCCTAATATTAATCTGTTTACTAACAATACCTTGTACTACATTACTTCTTTTCTTTTTTAATATTATTGAAAATTTTAATAAATAAGCGTTTTTGTTTGCACATTTCCCTTACACGTTACTTGCGCATTTAGTGATAAAAAAGACTCGGACTGGATTTTTTTTTTGGTTTATGCATTTTTGTTTTTTGTGAATCATTTTTTTTTATTAAGAACTATAGATAATCTCTTATTACCGTTCCTCGTACTGTTTTTGTAAATTTCTGTGTTTGCTAGCAACTAATAAAATGGTTTGTCTAACTATGTATATCACACCGACTTAACAATTGGGTACTATATACAAGTTGGTGACTATAATATTAAATAGTAAATATCTAAATATATACTGAGTGACCGCACTGTCATTTTGCTTTGGTGCGCAGGAAGCTCGGATAAGGACCACTGATTGGTTCAAAACATATTGAGCGAACTCGGCTCAAATACGTGATTTGTCCGTTTAGTTAATATTATTATTATTATATTCCGGGTACTGTAATATTATTTTAGCAAAAGTCGAGTCTTACCACCGCAGCTCACGGTCGTCACTATAGTTTCCAGAAGTGCCTCGATGCTCAAAACGTCTTCAGGTTGCACGTTCCTTCTAAAACCCCTAGAGTGCCTATCCAAAGTAAATACATTCTCCCACTTGTGTGGCACCAAATGTCCTGTAAAAAAATGAATTATTACTGCCGTTTCAAAACTTTTTTGTTTGCAAAGTGATATTGTAGCTACTATAACCTGTTTTTGTGAAAACTTCTTATTTATATTTTCTTTAAAGAATGAAATTAATTGCTTCAAATTTCACCACCCACAAAATTGTTTAGACCTTAAAAGCTATTGGTTGACAAGAGCCTTTTTTCAAGAGCACGTAAGAAGCACGTGCCAAGAAATTGGTCGCGCGTCTCCCGGAGAATTCTCGCGCAACCTTGGGAATATACGACAAACATTAAGTTTGGTGAGCCGCGTCAGGGAATTTCCGGTTCCGGAAATACCGGTTAATCCCGGTACTACTAGCGAGGTGCAATCTGTTCCGGTACCGTGATAACAGATTCCCGGTACTTCCAGTTATAGCATGATTATAGCAAGGAAACTACCTACCTACCTACTGCACTATGTGTATTATCGCCCGTTAGTAGCTTCGCACATTATAATGCTACTTGAAATTATTAATTAACTGCAATGTGATTTTACATGTTTTAAATTATGTTAAATTTAAAAGCAATTGTAGGAAATGAAACTATTTTTCCGGATTTAAATCGCGTATATTTGTTTTTTCAAACAAACCAACGTTTCGGGCCCTTTACAGGTACCATGGTCATGGTGGACAGAGTAGATTTAAATCCGGAAAAATAGTTTCATATTCTATGTGTAATTCGATTAATACAAATTATTTCTCAAATAGATATTTTGGATCTCAAATTTTAGTTTGATTAGATAATCAAGGTTTTCTTTATTAATTATTGTATTATTGTTACGTAAATTGTTAAATAGGTACGGACAATGTAATAAAAGCATACTTACTTGTTACAGTATAAGCTTTTTTTAAATGTCGGCTAGATCATATTTTTATAATAAAAAAAGGTTTTTTTACAAAAAAAAGGTCAAGAATATAACGGTCGGGCTAGCTACAATATCTGCTCGCAAATAAAACCGTTATGGGATAGGGAATGCTTCAACTTTACTTACATATGAGTGAAATATATTACCACCCTAATGATACTTACTAGGATTATATCTATCTTTACAGTTGTAGAAATCTCCATGGTGGCAGCTGATACCTTTGCCCCATCTGTCGTTGACTACTATCTCATCCTTAACAGGGCTTTCATTGTAAAGCCAGGTTAGGAGTTCTGGTGATTTCCAATAAGTATCATTGACATCACCGTCTCCATCGGCCCATAGAATGGAGGGTTTGTAGTTATTGATTAAAAATTTGATATTGGGCCAAACTATTTTGTCTGTATACGCAGTAGTGCCAAAAAGGTTTCCTCTGTCATGCGTGTACATTGTATTGAACCATTCAGATAACGAATAATAAACACCAAACTTCATGTTGCATTTTGTCATGGACTCTGATAACATTTTAACAATGTCTTTTTTTGGCCCTACATTGACTGAATTCCAAAAGCGACTTTGGGATGGATATAAAGCGAACCCGTCATGATGCTTTGCTGTGAAAACTACGTATCTAAAACACAAGAAGGATAATTTTATAAAACTCTTGTAATGGTCTATATCGGATATATCGGTCGGAACTATATTGTCTTGCGTCTGACAGCTAGCTATTCCAAATCAAGTCCATAGAAATCTGCACCTATAATCTGTCTTTTTTGAAATGGAGTAAAATGACAGTTCATTGCGCGAAAATGTGGGCAACATGCTTGCAAGCATTTAGTGATTGCTGTCGATAAATATTCTATCGATTATCGACTGAATGTTGGTCACGTTCATGCAATAAATAGCCAAACTTGTTTAATTTGAATTATCATCGGCACATTATTCATTTGCATTGTCAATTTTTTTTTAAGTTCATGCATACATACGTTTAGAACTATGTATATGTCTGTTAAAAATACAAAGAGGAGACATATTTTAAAGTTTTTTTTTTCACACATTTTAATTCAATATAGACAATCAAATCCGTCTCTTTCTATTAAAGTGCATAAGAATGAAAATTTATTTCGACACTGAACAACAAAATTTTACCTTCTTTCACAATCTTGTCAAAAACTTTCGGCAACAACTAAGACTATCTAAAATTTTATACTGGCAATCCTGCAATGTTTCAACTGCCTCCGTGGCCGAACGGTTACCATGCCGGACTGCCACGCAGAGGTCCCAGGTTCGATTCCTGGGCCGGGCGAAATATTTGTATGACCTACATTTATTTCTCTCGTGAGTTTGGGTGTAATTTGTGGTTGTCTATGTGTGTATCCATGGCACCCGCGACACAGGGTTTCCCTAGTGCGGGGCTATGTTGAGTGTGTGCGTTATTATTATTATTATAAAAAAAATGTCATTTTACTTCGTCTTCAAAAAAAATGAAATGTTTGTTTTACTCATCGTTTTTATACTCAATTGTTTATTTTCTTTTTGTTTATTGTTTGTTTCTATGACCTATAATTGTATGTAATATAAAATGTGTAATATAGTTAATAAACTACTTTCCCGTTCTAAATTTAATAGATTTTATTACTGTCGTCATAACTGTCACTACTTAAAAAAAAACAAAGGTATGTCTTGAAGGTAAGCCTGTAATGATTGCGAACTGCGAACATTTATTACGAGAGCCCTTATCTACCATAGCGGGAGTGGAGAAGAGATGTGTTTTTGTAACCAATAGTAATTCTTTAATTTGACATCTCCACATTACCGACAAAATAATGATAACCACGACTGATTGTTCTTACCGTCACTTGATATCATAAAAAATAATAATTGTGAAATATAATGAAACGTACTTTGCTCCAGAATCGAGGAAAATCTTAGCCCATTCATCAGGGTCAAATAAATCAGCCGTGAACATTTGTGCAAATTCTTCGTATGTAGTATCAGTGAGACTATTGTTACGCAGAAATTCCATTACCTCTGGGTCTCCTAGGATTTGGAAACATATCACAAAATTATACGGTTTTTGAGGATTTGCAACTTTTTTTAGGCTTTCGTCGGGACAGAAATATCTAGACGGCTAAAGGAGTCACAATGACATTATGTCGGCCAAAAAAAGGTTTAGGTACGTTTACATTTTATGCCTTCTCTTTCTGTCCTGTGGGTTTATGTGGTTCGATCGATTCCCGGGCCGGGAGAAATATTTGTATGGCCTACATTTATTATTCTCGTGAGTTTGGGTATAATTTGTGGTTGTCTATGTGTCCATGGCACCCGCGGCACATGGTTTCCCGCGGGGCTGTGTTGAGTGTGTGCGTTATTATTATTATTATTTGTTTACAAACTTAACGCCACGTTTAATTATGCGTTTTGTATCGCCCAAAAAGCGAAACGTACGACGTATTTTTCGGCTTTTGCTTTTGCTGATTGGTTCCCTAACAGGGAAGGGCAATTGAAACGTGGTGTTAGATTTCTACGAGCACACAGAAACTTGCTTACAGGTATAGCGCTGCCAGTCGATCTCTATACCACATTTATTTAACAAATTCAGGGTTAGATTATTTTGTAAGAGCATGTTACAAATATAACTAATATTGCGTTTAGAAAGGTGAGCATGGAAATGACGGCTGATAGGGGAGATTGGAAGAAAAATACAATGTTGTGCCGACCCCACTTCTCCTATAAGTGGGGTCGGTACAACATTGTTTCTTCCTATGAGGATAGGAAGAAGAAGATGAGATTGCGTTTAGAAATATTTACCTCTTTGTAAATAATACCAGAACCATTCACCATTAAAACTGGGCACAGAATACACCCCCCAATGAACCATAATGCCGATTTTTGCTGAATCGTACCACTGTGGCAAGGGGCGAGTATCTAAATCCTCCCATTCTGGCGAATATAATTTTGATAAATCACTAGTTTCTTTAAATGTTTCTGCGTTTGCTCCGAAAATAACATATAACATTATCACTATCATTGTCCAGGAGAAAATCACCTAAAACTAAACATAGGTATAGGTATAGTTCGATTGTTACATATTTCGATAATAAAAAGCGCTCCAGCAGGTAGAATTTTTTTATAATAATGATAATTGAGATTTACTAATTTTCGTTGCTATAAAACGTTTTAATTAAACACTTATCGAATAACATTTTTTTGGGGACCCCATTATTTCTATTGTCTACAGGTGACATCTAATTTTAGATGGACATTTTTGTGATAATACTCTAAACCTATAAATGAATAAAATGAAGTGTCTTATTACTTAATTTGACATAAGCTTAATTCTGGGGCTGATGTTTCCTTTTTCGGCTTCACAAGGCCTGTGTTAAGATACACTGCTCTTCTACATAGATAGAATTTGCTCTTAATTTGAATATTACTATTAAGATAGTGGTAAATACCTTTAAGCAAACGTTTAAATTTACTCTACACTACGTATAGTTTAGTGTTGCATTATATGTATATTAAAAAGTAACTAGCACGCGAAATAATTAATCAGATGTATAGGTATATTGCAGTATTGGAGAGACACGATATATGTCTGGGTAAAATGCATAGCAAAATAATACAACCTTACCACCAAGTGCATTTGATGATTCGCTATGTATTTTACTGTCTTATAGCGCTCCTTCACTTTGGCTTTGTAAATTATAATAAACAAAGTACAGCAAATGTATTACTACACGTTGCTATATTTCACTGTGTGGATCAGTTGTTGAGGTGCAGAAACTTGTTCATACTGAATAAATTCGCAGGTAGCTGTTGATTATTAGATTTTGTCTTTGTAAAGAAATAACTTGGATTACAATTGAGAATGATGTAACAATGGAATAGTTAACAACATATTTGTAATGTGGTACCTATGACTCGCCTTATTTTTGATATTGACGACCGGTGGCCTAATGAATTGCACTGTGGGGCTGGAAGATTTATGATGAAGATTAATAATCAAAATTCTACATAGATATAAAAAATTATAGCATAGTTTATAATCGGAAAAATATTTTGATTTAAGTAAAGAAGAGATCTATTGAAGATATAATTTAATTTCCAACTCTAATTTTTCTGGGTTTGATTTAAGGCTTTAATTATTGGGTTACAGATTATGGACAGTGAACGCCTCACGACACTTTACGTCGGCGTTGCGATGTTTGAGCGGTGACGCTGCGTTGTACTAAGTAATTAAATTAGAACAAATGCCATAATTATGGTGCCGGTGTAAAGGCGTAAGGCGACGGAATGTGTGTGCATCGGACAAGGGGCCAGGAGACGAAGCGAGGAGGGGTGCTGCGGTGCATAAGTAAGCGGGGCGTTACTTTTTTATATGATATCAAGTGACGGGATGAACAAGTCGTGCGCCTGATGGTAAGCGAGACACCTGTCTATAACAGTTGCAATGCCACTCAGAGCTTTTAACACAAAGATCTGAAGGACACTGCCACTGCGCCCGTCATCCTGAGACATAGGTTGATAAGTCTCATGTACCCTTACCTACTTAAGGTGGCAATACTTCCCTGGACGACCTCTTTCCCAAGGAGCTCTGCTGCTATGTGGTCTGTGACTGCTACGTTGCGATACTGCAATCCGCGTGTGACACTCGGTGCGTTGAATTCTTACCGTTGCGACGACGCAACGCAAGTGTCGACTAGCTCTAAATGGATATATACATTATGTATGTACTGCTACAGTGTGTTTCGTTTAGTCTGTATAGCCTCAGCGTCATTGAACAAGAAAATTTAATTTAATTCAAAATTAATCGTACACTGAAAAAAATGCATTGCTTTTTAATTTTTTAATCCGTTCTGTGATACATAGATAAAGCCAGAGAACTCCCACTGGCACATAACAGCTTTTTTTCTGGGACATGTCCTTAGACATTAAAGATACATTGTGCCGCACTTACTTCTGACGGGAAAGATTGCTGGAAGCAGAAAAACAGATCGCAGAAAAACCATGGCTTGATAATATTAAAGAATGGACAGGCAACTTATTGCGGGTTTCCTACGTGATTGCGAATGACGATACTGTGAAAACGGTTGCGCGAAAGCTATAACGCACGACGGCTTATTTTCACGAATGTTCAGTTGCGCGAAAGTTTAAAAGCGCGATGGTTAATTTGCGCGAATGACGATAGCACGAAGACAAATGGAATGCGCGAATAGTTAATACTACGACTTGCTCGGCACAGAGGGCTGTATGCAAGACTGGTGGCCAACATTCACTAGAAGGAGAGATACTGTTAGAAGATGAATTTAATTATGTTGTGTTTCATTTACGTGATTGGAATGTTTCTTTTTTCAGTCTAAAATTTAAGGTGATATTAAAAGTCTTTAATACTTCTCAACTTTATTGCCAAAAAGTTCTGTTCGAATTAGTAATCTTCAATGCCCAGGCATATTTTTCTTCGGAGCGAGATTTGCCCGGTAAATTCACCCTTACTGAGTCTGACGTAATCGTGAACTGAAAATATAGGTACGTAATAAATTAATGAGGCTATATTAATTTTTATTAATGTGTTTTAAGTGATTGCACATGGCGACTTTTGATAGTGATACAAACGTGTTTTTCATTAACTGTAAACAGTGATGTATTGCATCGATGGAGTGACTCATGTTTATACATTAAAAACATATGGCTGTATCGATGCAAACACTGTATTTATTAAATTGATGCTTAAGCACATTTAAACGATGCAGATACACGTAAGCATCGCGGCAAAATGGCGCAGAGGAGTGAATCTTCAATACCCTAAAAACAGTGTCGCGGCTGTATCGCGTTTGCATCGATACCATATTGCGTTTGCATCCCGGTCGTATCGCTGCTTAAGTCACAATCGCGACTGAGTGTCGTATTCTAGAACTCTACTCAATGCTCAAGTCAGGATTTGAGTAAGGTTTAAAGCACTCGAAATCATACTCAAGTCCCTGCCATTAGGGTCGTATTTCCAGTGCTTGTGTTGCCAGTGCAATCCTGACTTGAGCATTGAATAGAGTTCTAGAATACGGCCCTGAGTCACTTCAGATGCGCTGTTAAATGTCGCCGTGTGTAACCGCTCTTACATTTGCTTGCAAGTAACAAAAGCATTGTAAATGTGTATAGTAGTACAGCGCGGTGATAGCTTAATATTATTTTATCTCATCACAAATTAATTATTACTTTAATTAATTTGTGATTAAATTATTAGGAATCACCGTTTTATTATATTGTTATGTATGTTTGTTTACGAGATATGTATTTATGGGTCTTTGTAACTTGGTTATAAATAAATAAATAAATAGAAAAACGGTTGTTTCTCGATCGAGAAGTTGACGCTTCGAATGTCTGCGGCGGTGGCATAGATATATCTATGGGCGGTATATGACTTCATTTCAAAGTTAAGTGTATTTGCGAATGTTTAGCAGCAATACCTCTTGGTAATGGTAAAGGAAAATATCGTGACGAAACCTGCACGTAGAAGAAGGATCACAACCCTTGGAAAATTAATCAAGTTCCCAATCTGTATTGGCTCAGAGTCGCGGCCTTTCAAATAACAAAATAACTTAACGTCTTTAATGTATAGTGGATGCTATATAGTAAAATCTGCCAAAATGGAGCAGCGAAGAACTTATCTTTCGGCGATCAATGGTACAGTAGGTATACCATTTTCTAAGGCCCAGACTGCCGAGTCACTCAAGATTTATGGAAACTCCTATTTCTACCACTCTTAAAAATAAATTATTATCAACTGGTTTACATTCTCTCACTATGACAACAAAAGTTTTAAATGTACGTACACTTAAAGAAGAGGGGCCTTCAGAGTCGAGCAATTCAATAATAAAGCTCATGTTCTGTATAAAATGAACCAAGTTTCCCATCAGCAAAATATTATCGATTGGCCATTTTAAGAAGAATGCATAAATGTCTGTAAATATTACTTTTGTCTTAGTCAGAGTATTCGCAGTTTCAATCTGTTTCTTTTTGCCGGTGTACCATACATACGGATTAAGAGTGTCATTTTGGTATAACCAAGGCGAAGTATCATAAATTGCTTCTCCGTTAATTTTGAGCCATTCGCCCAATTGTAGAAGTCGTTCTTCGAAAAAAACTGGTATAATTCCTTCTTTCGTAGGGCCGACGTTAATCAATGCATTGCCTTTAGGAAAAACAGAGATCCACATTTATTCTAATTTATGTGAGGTATACCGTGAGATAGTAAGTGATAATAGACAGACGATAACGATGTTCTATATTTTATAAAATACAATAACAAAAATGTAATAATTTCGGACGAATGAGTTCACGTAACTCTTATCGAAAGACCTTTTATTATAGTCAATGACACGATATCGGTTCATCGTAATATTATCCTTTGTTGTGTTAATTAATAACTCTAAATACCACTCTAACCTTGCACAAGTTTATTGTTAAATACCGGCACCTAAGTACACTATTCACGTACCATATTGAATATGAAAATCAATTACAAGATCTCTAATCAAAAAGTGGAACCATCAGAAGAACTCTGTAGATCTCAGAAATCACAGTACATAGTTATCTAAGTAATACATAAATCAATTGTACAGTTTATTTTATCTGAAATGATTCGGCCTACCTCCACAGCTCACTACAGTCACAACAGTTCCTAGTAATTCATCAAGCTGAAGTAACTCGTCATCCCGTACATCATTTCTACAACCCCAAGATACCTTATCGAGTTTAAAAGCATCCTCCCATTTATGTGGCATCAAGTATCCTGTAAAGTTAGTACTATAAACTGTTTAAATTCATCATTATCAACGTTAGGAGCAAGAAGCCGTCCACTGCTGAATGAAGACTGAAAATGGAGAAAATCACTTTTTACTGGTTAAAAGTTAGCATTCCAAGTTTTGATTGCAGAAGTATAAAGGCCTATCCAGATAAGCGATAGTCACTACCGCTGTGGGTAGCGAAAAATACCGCACGGTATCCCGCTGCGCATTTGTATGAAGTTTCGTGGCAAAAGCGAAACTGAAATATATACCGATAATAATATACCGCCCAGATGGCGGATGGCGCGAATACCTACCTCACCAGTTAATTAGTGACGATTAGTTGACATAACAGAAGGACTCATTTGCGATTATGACGTCGAAACAGTGAAATGTTAAATTTATAGAGATTACGCGTTTACACATGGTTATAGTGTGGTCTTATTCTCTGGCAGCATAGAGGTGATAGTCTAGTAAAATAAAAAAAGTGTACCTTCCCGTAGCGGTAGCGATACCCACTTAGGTTTGAACTGTAGGAATACCGCATACCCACTTGGATTTCGCTACCCACGGCGGTAGCGACTATCGCGTATATTTGAACATGACATCCTTTTCAGACTAAAAACACACACATGGTTTTCAACGTTGCATACGATATTCAATAGTTAATATTCGGTTACCCAGCGTAAGTATTATTATTTGGTTATATGAATAACACCATCGATGGACCAGGCAAATTTTTTGGAGCAGCCTGACAATGGTTCTTGTAAAAGTAGTCGTAATTATCATCATTCTCCACCGGTATTTTATTGTCTATCTTCATTGTACTGTACCTTCATTACACCCAGGCAATGCAATAAACTACCTTACCAGGATTGAAGCCATCATCGCAATTATAGAAGTCTCCATGTTTACACCAGCTGTCGTGACCCCACCTATCATTGACTACTATTTCGTCTCTGACAGGGCTCTCATTGTAAATCCAGGCCAACATTTCACGCGATTTCCAATAAGTACAGCTTGCTTCCCTGTCACCATCGGACCATAACACGGATGGTTTATATTCATTGATTAAATATTTAATGTCTGGCCAAACTATTGTGTCCGTATAATTAGTTGTGGTATAATCTCTTTTTCTATCATCTCTATAGAGTTTATTAAACCATTCATATAGAGAGTAATAAAGGCCAAATTTCATGTTGTGTTTTCTTATTGACTCAGAAAGAGCACCAACAATGTCTCTTTTTGGTCCTACGTCCACTGAATTCCAATTCGATCGCCCTGATGGAAACAGGGCAAAGCCGTCGTGGTGCTTGGAAGTGAAAACAACGTATCTGAAAACATAATAAACGATGAGTATAAAGTGCTCCATTTTTTTGTATTGAAATGGAATTAATAAAATGATTATTCTGCTGTCATTATGAATACTATGAAAGCATTTCGAGAATTAAAATATTATTCCTACCAAGTCGCTAAAATAAAACGAAATTATCTAAAAAAATAAAAGAACCTCGCTCCAGCATCAGCAAATAGTTTCGCCCATTTGTCAGGTTCAAAGAGTTCGGCTGTAAACATCGATGGGAATTCTAGATACGAATCGTATTTATTGGCAGCCATAAAATTCTTCACCTTTTCGTCACCTAAAACGCAATGCTACAAGTAAATAGGATCGCACACGGCACCATGCTTCGGCGTGAAATTGGGGCGTATCGCGGGGTATGCTAATTTAGCAGCTAAACGAAGTGCTATGGAAAGCATTGCCTGCTTTGCCGCAGCTGTGTAGTTAGGCTGCGAAGCAGCAGACAATCCTTGTTACAAATCACACCGCAGCGGTAGCAACTCTCGCACGGGGTGCAACGTGTGGAACCATAAAAGCATATAGACGCGCCGCCACCTTAATTTATTTTACTATTTTAAGAAAAAAGTATACATACTACAATAATAAATAATGAAAAGCACCCTTAAACAGTACTTGGGTTTGTTTCGACTATAAAATTCAATAATCTTTATATCGTACTTATGTATTGAAACATTGCTGAAAAGTAGGTGTTCGGTTAAGCACATAAAAATATTAGCATTGATATCAAATAAAATTTGTTTTTATTTATATGTTGGTTTTATGTTTTTCTTTTTAACCAATTTCAAAAAGGAGGAGATTCTCATCGAATTTAATAGTGGTCGGATTTAAATTTGAAGAAAATATTCCACCTCTAAGGGTGGCAAACTAGGTGATGAATGATTTTGACGTCGGTTTTTTTAGTACACTGTACTGATACCATTTTATTGTCTTATCTACATTTTAATTTCTGGTATTGTTTTTTTTTGTTCTTTTGTTGGCTTTAATTTTATTTTGTTATATGGCATTTGTTGGTGTTTATTGTGGTATTATTAGTGGTAATAAAAGTGTATTTCATACTACATTTTAAGCTTAAGTTTAGATAATCAGTAGGTTAACTCACTATCTATTCGGGCTTAGTTTGTAAGGCTTTAGACATATAAAAATAATTACCATTCTCCAATTCAAACCAGAACCATTCGGACGAATAACATGGCACAGCATACGGTCCCCAATGCACAAAAATGCCAATTTTTCCTGAATCATACCACTTGGGCGCCGGACGGGCATCGAGATAAACCCAATCTGGAGCATAATTGTTATAATTTACCTTGCCAGCTTGTGAGTAAAAACTGCCAGATTCTTCTATGGAGTAAGTTTGGAGAATGATAATTAAGAGTAACAATCCCATTGTTCTGTGAAATAAATAATTTCATGATTGATGTCAAACAATGTCAGGTACAAACTGTTCAAGTATTTCAAAAAAATTAAGGTTTTGGAATAACTACTTAGTCAAGAAACGTGCTACGTGCGCCGTCTTTGTTGGAAGGTATTGTTATATATAAATTAGAATTAGTTAAATATGCGACACACACACAGGAAAATGCACACATTCACAACTTATCTTTTACCTATACACTAATATATTGATTTATTAACTTTTGTTACTTTTTCTGAACTGTGAATTAATTACCAACCTTTCATACTAAAAACTGTTTTATTTAATTTAGTAAACTATAAAAGTAGTTGACCGGAATCAGATGATAAGTACTTTAATCCGGTTTTATCGTTGACATACTGTACCCACCAAATTTATGTAAAATTCAGCTTAACCTAATCAATAAATATAATGATATATTCATTTCCAAGCAAAACATTAAAACTAGGACGGCCAACATATAAAAATATTAAATACGAAATAAAAATGTTTATAAAGTGAAATTGATGAAATAGTACGTAATTAGCAATGGAAAAACGAATAGCAAAATTCGGAGAGGCTATCACGACAGAATATGCCAAGGTCGGGAGATGATACATGAAAAGTGAGTAAATTGTCAAAGTGCGAGAAATAACTTACAATAGCAAATTTAAATAATTTAGGCACTAATATTTTAGTAAATATTAGTTGCAACTCTTTCAGGAATCAGGAAAAGTAAGGGTGTTTACTAGATAACGTATAGTGAGAAAGATGAAAATGATAAGGGTCCGTAGTTTCACATTACAGGACATGTGCGTTAGTCTAAACTATGTAAGTAGTTAGCACATTTTCAAATCGGTAAAAAACCTTATTCGTTATTTATACGATTTGGAATTTTTATTAACTAACGACTTATATTACTTACACGGAAGTGTGAGATCACTTGTTCGTTTACGCAAAGCGTCGAGCAGACGGTAATAACGTGTTACTAGCAATTGGTTTATGCTTGGCTTTATCAATTGAAAAAGGAAAAGAAAAAATAACAATAATAAAAAACACGGACAATATAGAAGTAGACAAACATGGTGGTTTATTTCCATAACTTCAAGATAAATTATAAACATTGACGTTTATTTCCATATATTTCCGTGATTATAGATGACATCATTACCATCATTATCATCATTGTGAAGTCGTCCCACTGCTGGGCAAAGGTAGTATAATTAATAATATTACACTACCATGCTGCCCCTAAGCGGGCAGGGAACTCAAATTCATAGGTAAGTAAATTACACTTAAAATCGTTATATTGATTAAACTACTGATGAGATGCTACTACAGTTAGGTTATAATAACATTCATGATAATTCGTTTATTTGCTTAAAACCTGGTATAACAGAAGATGTTGCAAGAGACAGTGCCAGTACAAACATGTTTCGCATGTATTAAATAGCATGCAAATGTCTAGTTACATATTGTCATTCAGACTACCACAACCTTAGAGGGTGGAAAAAAAGGAAAGTATAAGAGATAGAACTCACGAAGCGAGTTTGACCCGCGCCCGCTGCGGTTGCGAGACAGCTGTTTTATTTCAACACTCACGATACCGCAGGTTTGTGCGGTCACGAAGCCGCCGCGGTTGCGGAACGGCCCGCAAACTTGGCGGGAGAGGATCGCAAGGCGCGCGGTTATTTACGATCGATCGAGATCGTCAGTTAAGTCTCAGACGTCGCCAGGGACTCACAAACGAGCTATCGTGTTATACTTACTTCATCAACGAATTAAAAGAAGAAGGCCTAAAACATTCAGGGTGCATCCTCTGATTCCGGAAAGAAATCGTTACGGATTATTCGTTTTCTTATTAATGAGTTAAAAAAACAAGAAGACAAATTCTTTAATTTTATTCGGATGTCCGTATCTACTTATTCAGAACTTTTAAGATAAAACGGTAACTGGTAGGAAATTAATTGATCGACTTCAACATCCATAACTTGAGAAACGCGCTGCCAAATCGAAAATCAATCACAAAATGGCGTGGGAAGGAAACACGCAAACCGCGCGCGCGTAACTCACGACCGCAGAGTGCGCGGGCGACACCCGCCAAGCGCGCGTTGAACCGCGTACCGCGTGGTTTGCGGCCGCCGCGAGTAACCGTCTCCGCTGCGGGCGTAAAACGCGTCGTGAAATGTGCTACTAAATTTGGCACACATTTCTACATTCTTCGGAGGCCGCGGTCCCGTCACCGCGGCGGGCGCGGGTAAAAACCGCTCCATGAGTTCTTAGCCTAAGACCACAACACAATAATAATAAAAATGTCACAAACATAATGTCAACATCCGATTTCGCGGCTGCTTAAAAGGAACAGTACGCTGTCTCTTGACTTATATAACACTTATAATTCTTGAATCTAAGAACTGGATCAACTAGTTTGAAAATCCAGCTGCAATTGGAGGGGCTCCTGCTGGGGGGGTTCGACTCTACGCGCCAGCAATCACGCAACACATCTGCTCATAGTCATCCGACTGATCGCATGACTATACGATAAACAAAAAAAGAAAAACAAACATGTCAAATTACAAATTAATTACTTATATTTATAGGTATAATCTTACATTTCATTACCTGTCAAATATTTCGTCTACGTCGTCGTAAAAAATATTTTTATTTAACCACTTGTACTGCTTTGTTTTTAATAAACTTAAGTGTAATAGTTTAATCTCAAGTGGTATTTTATTATGTACATATGTCAACACACATTTTAAATAACTTTTACTGTATTTAGCAGTCTTAGGAATAGTGTCAAGTACAAGTCTATTCGGGTTTCTGCAGTCTAGTATTCACATCTCAGCCTTTTTAAATTCCGTATATATAATGGTGGTAGTGGCAACAGACCAAGGCTCTGTAACAAAGGTCTGCATGTATCGTCTGGGGAATTCCACAAATTTTGTTAGGTACCATAAATTCAAATTCATTTATTCTCAGACCAATTAGTCATTATTTGTTAGTGACAATCTAATGAGTTAAGTTAGTAGAAACATCATCTACCCATTTATATGTCCCACTGCTGGGCACGGGTGTCCTTCCAGATAAGGGTTTATGGCTATAGTCCGCCACGCTGGCCCAATGGGGACTTCACACGTTTCCCGAGGGTTGTGAACCTTCTTCAACGTGCAGGTTTCATCACAATGTTTTCCTTCATCGAAACGCTCATGATAAATTTCAAATTAAATTTCGCACATAAATTCCGTGAAACTCAGAGGTGCGAGACCGGATTCGAAACCACTACCTTCTGCTTGAGAGGCAGTATGTCAAACCATTAGGTTACCACGGCTCCTAGTAGAAACAAGAAGAACAATTACAATATATTAAATTAAATTACATTATTATTATAAATACATTATTATACGTTCACGTGTAACTCGGTGAACGTACGGAAAACAGCCGAGTCCATTCGTCCTGACATCATCCTCAGGTTACCTTTCGTGCTCCCACGCAATCGCAACATCTGTGACGCATTTTTTGCGCATGATTGCGTAAAAATCACCAACACACGCATCCGCAAACATGCCAGAGGCACTGCAAAAGCGTGGAAGCCGCAACAGAACCTTAAAGATATTATTGTACATTACACTTAAGGCGTGAAGTTGGTCCACAGTGCACCTGTATAAAAATTATAAGTCATTTTTACAAAGTTATTTCGTACTACGACACTGTTGTTATATTTTTTACTGCATTGTAATTATTATAAAATGAAAATGTCACATTTAGGCTACTGTTCGTTCACTACGTGGACTTCCATGAGAAGAACGAGTAAGAAATTCTAGGGATTGCTCTTTTCAAATAAACTCAAATGCTATGTATGCACTTTGAATCAAATTTGTGTGGAATCTGGAGCCATGTCGTATTTCCATACATCTTTATGTAACACGTAGTCTTCAATTTTGTAATATGACTTTTCAATCAAAATATTTTTAATGGAGTTTTTAAACTTAGGAAGTGATAATCTTAATATATGCTCCGGAATCTTATTGTAAAAACGTATACAGTTCCATACAAAAGAGTCTTTTACCTTGGTTAAACGAAATCGTGATACCATGAGTTTGGACTTAGATCTAAGGTTAATATTATGGATATCTTTTCTCTTATTGAAATTATGTATATTTTTGCGGGCATATAAAATATTTGAGTAAATGTACTGTGATGCCACAGTCATGATACCAGTCTCCTTAAAATTTTTTTTGAGAGAAACCCGAGAGCCTAGACGGTACACAGAACAAATCGCTCGTTTTTGCAATACAAATATGGTTTGAATATCTGCCACTTTACCCCACATCAACAGACGCATCCGCAAACATGCCAGACGCGTTGCAAAAGCGAGGAAGCCTCAACAGAACCCTAAAGATGTTATTGTACAGTCAAAAGCATGTCAAGCTTTACACTTTGGACTTTGGACCATTCGAAGTAAAACGGAACAAAAGAGTAACAGAGATAAACAAACTTTTCTCTCACACGCGTCACACTTTTTGTGCTGCACTAGGCGTTACTTGTTTGCGTGTCGTACGGTGACTGCAAAGCAACAAAATGTGCGTGGTCGAGTAGTACCTAGTAGTCTAACCGAGCAGAACTGGTTTTATAGTTTTAGCATAAATAAGCGAAAAGTGATAAAAATATACTTTGAGCTGACGTGCTCGTAGTTTCTAACACTTATAAATTTGATAATCTGAGAATGTTGTAAATTGTTTCTAATTTTTAATACTTATCATGTTCTTACTTAACTAACTGTTTTTCTTTAGCATAATAATAATGTTGTATAATAAAATCAATATAAAAACTTACATTATTTTGATAGTACCTATATGATGTTTAAATAAGAAAATTAATATTAAATACTCATATTATTTTAAACTTTCTAATTCAAGAAGAAAAGATGCGTCTAAGAATAATGTCATAGCAAAGTAATAAAAAGCTAAAAATATGTTTTCATATCGAATTCTTAGGTTTTTGCGATTGTTACACGTAGGAAATGAAACTATATTTTAATATTTAAATCGCGTATATTTGTTTTTTCAAACAAACCAACGTTTCGGGCTCTTTACAGGTCCCATGGTCACGATTTATGTCAACTGTAACAAATATACGCGATTTAAATCCGGAAAGAATAGTTTCATTTCCTATATATTTTCATAGTTGATCACTATAAATAGTTATAGGTATACTTAAGTATTAAGATAGAATGCTGAGCTTCGGTAAGGCGTCGATATTTCGCCTAGTAATAATAAAATACATTCATATACTCGAATGTTCCCGAACCTAAAATCTATACTCTATGTCATTGACTTACAATTATAGTTTAGATCATTTTATGTTAAAAATTAATTTAAAAAAGTTGTCTGCTTTCATCGCTATTTTGCAAACCAGTACAACAGACCACTTTGCAACATTTCTATCACTGGCAAAAGTTAAAAATCATCGTAATTCTCAGAAAACTAGGAAAACAATCGATTATGAACAAGCTCTAAAGTATTTGCAAGAAAGGAAATTGTCAGAACTTTTGTTTTGTGATGACCCCTGCTTAATAGTAGAACGTCTGATTCAAACCTTAATTGACTCCATAAACGAAAATTGTACCATTCGAATAATTCCAAATAGTAAGCGCACGATAAAGCCATGGATTACTAGTGGCATACTACGTTGTATTAGAAATCGGAAGAAATTGCAGAAAACTCTCCGAAACTACCCTTACAATAATATTGCAAAGGTAACAACATACACTCGATACAGAAATTTTTGTAATAATCTCATTAAAAAATTAAAAAGAAAATACGAAAGAGACTTACTTACTAACTCAATTAAAAATAGTCGATTACTTTGGAAAAATATAAAAACCATTACTTATACTAATAAACCAAAAAGTCAAAGCTCAGAATTATTGAATACAAGGTCGAACTCCTCCATTGCTGTAAATATCGGTAAAAACCTTGCTCGACAAATCCAGACTAAAATAACAGATGACCCTTACGCTTTTCTGCAGAGACTCCCCACTCAGTTAAATACATTTGTATTACTAGATACGGATCTCGATGAAGTGGAAAGAACTCTCATGAGCCTCAAATCTGACAGTGCCCCAGGGTGGGACAACATCTCCACTAAATATCTAAAGTTTGTAAGATTCGAAGTAGTTCCGATTATATGTCACATTATAAACCTTTGTTTCAAAAAAGGCATTTTCCCCGCCCAACTAAAAAAGTCTATTATTACCCCAGTTCATAAAGGGGGTGACAGAGACGACGTCAACAAATATAGGCCGATTTCAGTTTTGCCGGCCATATCTAAAATAATAGAAAAAATAATTAATACTCGACTACAACAATATCTCGACAAACATAAAATTTTATCTTCGTCTCAATTCGGTTTCAGACAAGGTAAATCAACTGAGGATGCAGTTACCTCTTTGACTTCATTAATAACAGAACACCTCGTTGTGGGAAATAAATGCCTGTCAGTTTTCCTAGATTTAAAAAAAGCCTTTGACACCGTCTCTGTCCCAATCCTAGTGCGCAAACTGGAGAAAATCGGAATCAGAGGTAAACCTCTAACTCTCCTTAAATATCTTTCTGATAGGAAGCAAAGTGTTAAAATAGGAGATTGTAGTAATGTAGAACTGGATGTGACGTACGGCGTTCCCCAGGGAAGCATATTGGGTCCTACTCTATTTTTAGTCTATATAAACGACCTATGCAAAAAAAAAACCACACACACACGCACACGCACACGCACACGCACACGCACACGCACACACACACACACACAC